CTTAACATGCAACACACTTAATAATACTTAATATACTATAACTAATTATGTTCGAAAATCAAACGTCAAAAAAGCTGAAAAGTCTTAAAAACATTATTAATTAAAATTCATGCAGGCCTTTCATTCACATGCAACATGCATCATACTTAATTTTATATTAATATTATTTTCAAATAGCGCTCGGCCGCACAGATATACGTATACCCCGCGCCTGCGAAAAGAAAGCTCTTTCGTCAAATCTCATATAATAGTAAACACCGCGGCCGCGCGAGAGGAGATACAATTTAGTTCCCGATAATAACAAAACGACTATTTTCCTGAAAGTAAACAATTACACTAAACGCTCTTTCGTCCTCAGCCGAACGATAAAATTAAGAAAATCTTTCTAGACTATTCTAGAAATACGGGCCTATATAAACCTCCTCTCTCGTGATCGCGGTGCTCTTTTCCGATTGCTTGTCGCGTCAAGAGTGTGCTTATATAATACTTTACGAAAAAGATCGCTTGTCTTTTTCGTTTTTCTCGTCTAATTACCGTTGCTTGCGGAACATTCAGTTAATAATTATCGACTCGGCTAACTCTTGTGGTTTATTCTTTTCATTTAATTCTCTGGCTATTTTTGTGCGGTTTAAACAATTGTAATTTTTCGTTGTTCTTAGTTTAAATATAATTTTTGTTCACGTTACACGTGTGTCGAGTGCAGTACTTCTCTATCGTCTCGCTTCCGACCTTCCTTTCCCGCTATCCGTTGTGCACATTTTTTGGTTCTTCGAGCCGGATCCTCCGGAACCTCCTGTGAATCCGGTGCCACGGAAGCGATAGTGCATCAGTGTCGGTGACCAGTGCTTCTGAAGAAAAAGAGACAGAGTAAGAGATGGCCGACACTAAGGCAATCATTGCCACCGCCACAGTATTATACGGCAAGATCTCTCGCGCGTACGAGAACCTTAGGAAGCTCGGCGAGGCCAATATCACCCTCGGGGCGGTGGAGGCCCGGCTTCTAAATCTCGAGAAGCTGTGGGAGAAATTCGACGGAATTAACGATATGTTAGCCGATCGCGTGGACGAAATACGCCACGATGTCTACGCAAAACAAGACATCCCTTCGTTGGGCGAAGAGGCTTACCTGCTGAACAAGGGCCTCATGCTCGACTTGAAGAGTGCTCTCCAGATTCAACTGCAGGCAGCCAGCTCTACCTCGATCGCAACAACGGCTTCCGCTCCTTGGACAGCGCTGCCGAAAATCCAGCCGCCGACCTTCGCCGGAAAATACGAGGACTGGCCTTCGTTCCGAGATCTTTTCCAATCAATCATCGGTAGGAACCAGGCAGCAAAACCTGTGGAGAAGCTGCATTATTTAAAGCTTTGCGTAAAGGGTGACGCTGATCTGCTCATTCGGAACCTCAGCACCACGGACGATAACTACGACATTGCCTGGAAGACGCTGAGTGACTATTATGAAAACAAAAGATTACTGACGCGTAATTATCTCAACAATTTTTTGATGTTGACCAAGATGAAGAGCGAATCCGCCGCTGAATTGAGGCGACTTTTCCACGGGGTCAAAACTACGGTCAGCTCACTAAAGAGCATCGATCGACCAATAAACCGCACGGAAGACCTCTTCGTCCACCTAGTCGTCGAGCTACTCGACAATCGCTCCAGGCGAGAATGGGAGAGTGACATCAGTCACACGACGAATCCGCCTTCCTACTCCGAGCTGGAGGCCTTCATAGAACGCCGACTTCATACTTTGGAGGCGCTGTATCCGGCCAGGAACGAAAGCGGCAGCCACAGCCCTTCGAAGTCAACTCGGAGCCACTACGTAAAAAGGCAAGACCCGAAAGAGAAGCCCAGGGGCCGGTGCTCCATCTGTCAGGGGGACCACTTTGTGATGTTCTGCGGCGACTACAAGGGCAAGACGGCGATGGCTCGCAAACAGCTCGTCAGTGAACACAAACTCTGCTCAAACTGCCTTGGACGCCATCAGTTTTCGGAGTGCGCTTCGAAGAAGACGTGTACAGCGTGTGGCAGTCAACATCACTCCTCGCTTCACGACGCCTTCCGGGAAGCCGAGCCCTCTACGACTTCACATGTGGCCCAAGGTACACATTCTTCCTCCGCTACGGTGCTGCTCGCCACGACCAGGGTCCGCGTCCTCGACTGCCACGGATCTTGGCAGTCCGCTCGCGCCCTAATCGACCAGGGATCCGAATCATCCATCATCTCGGAACGACTAGCGCAGCGACTACGACTCCCTCGAATAGCAGCCGCCGTGAGTGTCTATGGAGTCGGAGAAAGAAGGACCGAAGTATCAAAAGGGAAGGTGAGACTTACCCTACAGTCGTGCCGCGGTGAATCGTCCACCCTCGTCGACGCGTTAGTGCTGCCGAAACTTACCTTGTTCTCCGGAGGATGCCACAGCCGTATGAGCGCTTGGACCCATCTGAAGGACCTGGAGCTCGCCGACCCGGAATTCAGCTCCTCGGATCCCGTCGACATCCTGTTGGGAGCCGACGTATATGGGACCATCATTTGCCAGGGCCTACAAAAGGGAGGTCCTCAGGAGCCTGTAGCGCAACAAACCTCGTTGGGCTGGATCCTTTCGGGTACCGTTAACTCGACGGCGCCCGGCCAACGTGTTTCCACTCACCACTGTCAAATCGAGGAGGACATCACCTGCTTGGTGCGGCGGTTCTGGGAGCAGGAGGAAGTTCGCCGGCCATCTCCGATCCTCACCAAGGCCGAACTGGAGTGCGAAGAACACTACCGGCGACATCATACTCGCTCTCCAGATGGCCGGTACATCGTGCGGCTGCCAACAATCGAGCCTATCCCTGACCTGTCGGGGACTCGACGCGCCGCAAGTCGTGCTCTGCATCATATGGAAAAAAGATTCAAGAAAGAGAGCGACTTCCAAAGCATGTATGTCGATTTTATGCAAAATTACAAGGACCTTAACCATATGATGCCTGCGCCAGAACCTGCTGAATCGCATCGAGGTGCCTGCTACCTGCCGCATCATGGTGTGTTGCGTCCAGACAGCACCTCCACAAAATTGAGGGTAGTCTTCAACGGCTCGAGCTCCTTGCCAAACGGAGACTCCCTCAATAACTACCTCTCAACTGGGCCAAATCTGCTTCCTTCGCTAGCCGATATCCTGCTGCGCTGGCGACGTCATCGTTACGTCTTCGCGACGGACATCGAAAAGATGTATAGGCAGATACTGGTGCACCCTGACGACCAAAACCTGCAAAGGATATTGTGGAGAGAGAACGCCAACGACGAAATCAAGGAGTACTGGCTAGGTACCGTTACTTACGGTTTATCCTGTGCTCCTTATTTGGCGATCCGCACTTTACGCCAACTGGCCGAGGACGAAGGACATCGCTACCGAAAAGGAGCCCTCATCCTGCTGAGCGACGTCTACATGGACGACATCCTGGCCGGTGCGGAGACCATGGAGGAAGCCGAAGTCATGCTGCAACAGCTGATTGACATCTGCAAGGCGGGCGGCTTTTCACTGAAAAAGTGGTCGGCAAACGACTCGCTATTGCTGAACACAGTGGAGCCCGACGACCGTCTTCGACAAGAGGCCAGATGGTGGCTGCCCGGAGAGAGTCACTCCACTCTCGGACTTCGATGGCAACCGTGCAACGATCGCTTCGCCTTCGCCACTCATCAGATCACCCTCTCGGCGGTCACCAAAAGATCGGTCCTCTCCTTGACGGCGAAGTTGTTTGATCCACTCAGCTGGCTGTCTCCAACTACTGTGCTGGCCAAGATCAACATCCAAACGATCTGGCTACTGGGCCTTGACTGGGACGTGTCTCTGCCAACCGAGGAAGCGAGGAAATGGCTGCGTTTCCAGGACGAGCTAGCTGCAGTGGAAAACCTGAGTGTGCCTCGATAGTTAGGCAGTATAGCGGACTCCCATCAGGAAATTCACGGGTTTGCCGATGCCTCCGAACGCGCCTACGCCGCCGTCCTCTACCTGCGAACCAACACCAACGGAAGTAGCAGAGTGACGCTGTTGGCTGCGAAGACCAAGGTGGCTCCATTGAAGCAGGTATCCTTACCTCGTTTAGAGTTATCGGCCGCCTGTCTTCTCGCTCGACTGGTCGCTCATGTCGTCCCTCTTATTGGAGCAGAGAAGGCACCTCTACACCTGTGGTCAGACTCCACTGTGACGCTCGGTTGGATTCGGGGTCACCCCTCGTCGTGGGTCACTTACGTGGCTAACCGAGTGAGCGAGATCCAGACGCTAACTCCAGGCGCCCACTGGCATCACGTCCCCGGCCGAGATAATCCCGCGGACTGCGCCTCCCGAGGACTCTACCCCAGCGAGCTGGAGAATCACTCACTCTGGTGGCAAGGTCCGTCGTGGCTGTCAGCCGGGAGCCACCCTTGGACGACCAACAGCGAGGAGCTTCCAGAGGATGACCTCCCAGAGAGGCGAGTCCGCACCCACGTCTCCACCATCGCCGAACTGAGGACCGAACCTGAGATGCTGCTGCGATACTCCTCGCTACAACGATTGCTCGGGATCACAGCGTGGTGCCGTCGCTGGTTGCGGATCCATCGTCAGCCCCACCACGAGCACGGCCAGCTCGGCTTGATCAGCGCCGACGAAATCGAGGAAGCCCGGATCTCCTGGTTGAAGACAGTCCAGGCTGCAGCATACAAAGAGGAAATTAGGCATCTACAAAGGGAGCAACCCCTGCCGTCGCGAAGCTCCCTGCTAAAGCTAAGTCCATTTCTGGACAGCAAGGGGCTCCTACGCGTCGGCGGGCGCCTGAAACATACTACCAAGCAAATCGAACTACACTTGCCTCATCATAGACGATCACCACAAGCGAACGCTGCACGGCAGTACCCAGCTGTCTTTGTGTTCTTTTCGCCAGGAGTATTGGGTTCCTCGCGGTCGCTCGCTGGTGAAGAGCCGCATTAGCCGCTGCGTAAGGTGCACAAGGTGGCGGGCCGCCACTCCTCAGCCACTGATGGGAAATCTTCCCGCTCCAAGAGTCACGCCAGGCCGGCCGTTCCTGCATACCGGCGTAGACTACGCCGGACCGGTTTGGATGCGAACAACACGGGGCCGTGGACACAAGACGACCAAAGGGTTTATCGTTGTGTTTGTTTGTTTAGCCTCCAGGGCATTCCACCTCGACGCCGCCTCTGACTACACCGCCGACGCCTTCCTTGCCGCCTTACGCCGGTTCATCGCCAGGAGAGGAGTATGCCACTCGTTGTATAGCGACTGCAGCACCACCTTCGGGGGAGCCGACAAGCAGCTAAAGCAACTGTTCTCCACCGCCAGTGCCGACGGACGCCGCATAGCATCCTGTGCCGCCCAAGAAAAAATCCGGTGGCATTTTAACCCGCCGGCGGCACCTAACTTCGGCGGCTTGTGGGAAGCCGCCGTGAAGGCCATGAAGCATCATCTTCGGCGAGTCATAGGTGAAGCAACCCTCACCTATGAAGAGATGGCGACCCTACTCGCCCAGATTGAGGCCTGCCTCAATTCCCGACCGCTGCAGCCATTGTCTGACGACCCGGAGGATTTAGCAGCGCTGACACCCGGTCACTTCCTGGTCGGCTCCGCTCTCGCGACGATCCCCGAGCCGTCGCTCGAACAAGAGCCGTCGGCGCGTCTCTCCCGGTGGCAGCTCCTGCAACAAATGAAGGACCATTTCTGGTCTCGGTGGGTCAACGAATATTTAAACACGCTGGCCCATCGACCGAAATGGTCCCGAATTAATCAGGAGGCTCGCGTCGGTCGACTCTGCCTAGTACGGAACGAGATCACTCTACCCACACGGTGGCCGCTTGCGCGCATAACGCGACTGCACCCCGGTTCCGACGGTAACGTTCGCGTAGTCGACGTCCGCACCGCGAGCACCAATTTAACGCGACCCGTGAATAAATTAGTATTTCTGACCGACGGCTCCGAAGCTTCACCGTAATTCAAGGGCACGCTTCGCATAATTTTTGTCTTGAAACTCTTCGTTGATCCAGCTTCACATTCACTTGCACGTCAATCATCACCTCACTCTACTCGTTGCTCCTCTCTTCTCATCCCTATACCCCTCTCATCGCTCCACTATTCTTATCACAATCACGACACATACACTATCACTATACGCCATATTTTCTCGAAGATCGAAATTATCACGGTCTGCGCCACGCTTTAGCCTACACGCTACTAACCATTACACTCGAGAATAAACAGCTGATCGATTCAGCATTCCTTTACCTAAATCCGGCGGAGCACGTGCGCTCCCCCCCGTCGACCACCACCTTGCCGTGGTGGGGGGGCTCACCCTTCGCAAGGGATTAGCCTTGCGAAGGGTGCTAAGAGTGGTCGGTACCTCCGGTGGAGGTACACCTCATGGCAGTGGGCGGCTGCCAAAAGGGCCTAGGCCCACCGCCCTAGGGGAGTTCACCCCGAAAACAAAACATATTATGGGAAGGAAACCGAGGAAAAAGGACGTACAGGTTCAGGCAGCCTCGGATATGTCAGGACCCGGCGGGGAGGAGGGTATAGTCCCGGCCCCCACCCCGTCGTCATCACACGACGGGCGTGGAGTAGGAGGAGGGGGGCCTGCGACTCCGATGGAGACGGAGTCGCAGGTTCCTGAGGTCGAGAGTCCGGCGCCTATGCTGCCGGGCCTCGACTATGCGGAGGAGGTGGCTCCGTGGTGGAATGAGGCGGGCGCCAATATGTCCACTGCGGAGCTGTTTCATAGGGCCGTCCAGGGATGGGAGGGCCTGCAGGAAAAGACGGAGGACTTTATCGGGTCTGTCCGTAAGGACCTGCAGAAGGAGGACACGGACTCGGCGATGGAATGGGCGAATGCCTACGCCAAGTCCGCAATGTTCTGGGCGCAGGAGCTCGCGTGGATCGCCTCCGAGTTCACGCGTCGCAAGTGCGTGCGGTACGGGGAGGAGGCGGCAAGGTGCGCTGCAATGGTCCCTGGTTGCGGAAGGGAGCTCCAAGACCAGGGAACCCAGACAGAGGAGGTGAGCGAGGCGTCTGTCGAGGAGACTCCTTTGCCGGGGGAGCTGGCGACCAGGCTCGAGGACATGTCCTCGAGACTGGCTGCCGGCTCGGATCGGCTGGAGTTGATTGAGAGGCGCCTCGCTAGGATGGAGGCCGGTCGGAAGAGGAGAAAGGCCCGGACGGCCCGGGGGGTTCTCGGGGGGGAGTGCCGGATGGAGGTCGGCACGGGAACGGACACGGAGACAGAGACGGGGACGGGGACGGACGAGACGATGACGGACAAGGGGAAGACGGGGACAAAGGGGACATGGGCAAAAGTGTTAGGGAGAAAGAGGGGAGGGGGAGAAAGGAGAAGGAGCCGGTGGGAGGGGGAGACTGCCTTAGGAGGCAGTAAAAGGGGAGGGGGCAAAGTTGGCGGCGAGGCGACTGTCGCCAACGTCATGGGGGCGCCGAGGTGCTACCGGTGCCTGTGTGTTGGGCACACATGGCGCCGGTGCACCTCGACGGTGAACAGGGGTAGCCGCTGCTACCGCTGAGGCTCATCTGGCCACAAGGCGGTGGGGTGCCTGTCCGGCCTTAGGTGTCCGCTTTGCGTGGACTTCCGACGGCCGGCCAGGCACCGACTCGGGGGTCCGGGGTGCCTGACGGCACCTCCGGCGGGGTCGAAAGGAGGGGGCGTGCCGTCCCGCTCCCCTCCGTCGCTGGCGGTCGTGCCCACGGGTGCGGCCGTCTGCGGCGTTGGGGGTCGGGGGGCCCGCCACGTGCCGGCGTCGACAGTCGACGCCGGATGAGGGTGTCCGGGGGGACATGGGAGCGCCTAGGCGCTCCCCTCCCCCCCCACACCCTCCGGGAAGAAGAGGCCGCACCGGTTGCGGGTGAACTCTGACCCCTAACGGGGCGGAGGGAGGTCGCAACCGGGGGGGTCAAGAATGAGGGGGGGCCACGTGTCCCTGGCGGGCGAGCATTGCCCTCCCGTCCGGGGCGCCTGGGCCCCTCTCAAGGACGGGACGTGACGTGTGGGGCCCTCTCACCGGGAGCCATAGAGCACCGGTGGGAGGGCAAAACCGTCCACGGAAGGGGGACTTCTCTCCTTCTGAGAGAAGCCTCCTGATGAGGGCCCTTTCAGTGAACCGCCAAACTGGACCACCCTCTTGGTGGTCCGGGGGTTGCGACACTGGGGGGGGGGTGAGGGGCGATGGCTCGAGCGGGAGTTCTCGAGCCATGGCTCCGCCCCTCAAACTCTTTGAGAGGGCGCGGCGTGGGGTCGATGTCGCCCTGCGCCGCAACCGCGAGGAACCCGTACAATGACGGGGGGAGGGTGTCGCCTTCCGCGGCATCCTCCCAAGGAGGGATAAGGCGGGCGGGCGGCCAGTCGGCATGGGATACCAGCATCCTGGCCGTCCCCTGTATAACGCCCGTGAAGGACATCCTCTGGGGTTTTAGTGCGGTAGGTCCTGTCCCGGCTCTCCGGCTCGCCGATCCCGACTCTCCGGCCCGCTACGGCGGACCGGCCAGGCGGGGCAGGGAGTCCCACATAACCCCCGCCTCTACCCGGAGGCGGATGGTACCATGAGGTTTCCCCAGAGTCAAAAAAAAAAAAAAAAAAAAAAAAAGGAGCACGTGCGCTCCACGTGTGCTTTACGCGCGAACGCGTGAACAAGCTCGCGCCCCCACGCTCTAGCTTCTAATTCGATTGCAGTATACTGCAAGGCGGGCGGAATGTTCGAGAATCGAACGTCAAAAAAGCTGAAAAGTCTTAAAAACATTATTAATTAAAATTCATGTAGGCCTTTCATTCACATGCAACATGCATTATACTTAATTTTATATTAATATTATTTTCAAATAGCGCTCGGCCGCACAGATATACGTATACCCCGCGCCTGCGAAAAGAAAGCGCTTTCGTCAAATCTCATATAATAGTAAACACCGCGGTCGCGCGAGAGGAGATACAATTTAGTTCCCGATAATAACAAAACGACTATTTTCCTGAAAGTAAACAATTACACTAAACGCTCTTTCGTCCTCAGCCGAACGATAAAATTAAGAAAATCTTTCTAGACTATTCTAGAAATACGGGCCTATATAAACCTCCTCTCTCGTGATCGCGGTGCTCTTTTCCGATTGCTTGTCGCGTCAAGAGTGTGCTTATACTTTACGAAAAAGATCGCTTGTCTTTTTCGTTTTTCTCGTCTAATTACCGTTGCTTGCGGAACATTCAGTTAATAATTATCGACTCGGCTAACTCTTGTGGTTTATTCTTTTCATTTAATTCTCTGGCTATTTTTGTGCGGTTTAAACAATTGTAATTTTTCGTTGTTCTTAGTTTAAATATAATTTTTGTTCACGTTACGCGTGTGTCGAGTGCAGTACTCTATCGTTTCGCTTCCGACCTTCCTTTCCCGCTATCCGTTGTGCACAAATTATATAATATTTAATATAGATTTTTTCTCAATATCGTATTTACATAAGATATATACATATAATTACATATATACATATATATATGTCAATCGTATATTTTGACGACGATTTTCGGTACAGATTGGACACTTTGACGACTTCTGGCTATTTTGACGACGGTCGTCACAATTTTATCAATAAATCGTATACTTTGGCGACGTCGTCAAACTAACCCGAAACAGAAGATTGACTAATTTGATGACATTGTATACTTTGACGACACTATATTTATTTTTTGGCGATTTTGACGACAATAAAAAAATATGTCAAATAAGAAACTAAAATATACGACATATGATAAAATATGATAAAATATGATTGATTTTTTTATTAAAAATAACTAAATGACTTAAACTGGTTTAAATTGACTCTTATTTTGACGACATTAAACAAATACTTTTTTGTTTCGTATTTTAAAAAAACACAATGACGCGTTAGAATATTAATTAAGAAATTTGTACATTCAATGAATGTGTCAGAAAGACACTGCTTTATCATGTCATACTTAAATACAGTATATTATATTTATGTATATATTGTATTATATTTATGCAGTATATTGTATTATATTTATGCAGTAAATTATATTATATGTATCATATGAATATATCGATCTGTATCAAAAGATAAAAATCTTATAATACTTCTTTAGTCAATTAATCAATCTTACGATTAAATTGGACTGTGTATTTAAATATGTCCATAACTGTGTATATGACTTCCTAGAAAAATGAATTTGTATCACTAAGATAATTATATTTGTAATAATTAATATCTTTAATATATTTTATATATATATATATAATTATTACAAATATCATAGCGATACAAATTTATTTCTCCAGAAAGTTATATGTATAAATACACTGTCCAATATTAATGTAATTTTATAAATAATTAAAAATAAAGTATTACCAGATTTTATATGTACATAAGAGATATATATATCATTTTTGCGTCATTTTCCTATTGCCAAAAAATCAATGTGATAATATTTTTCGGCGCGGTATCATATGACGCGTCTCTCCTCGCTCGCCTCTAATGCGCCGCGACATATACCGCACCGAAAAATATTTGTCATTTGCAACTTGCCTACAGATTAATTTAAACTTTACCATGTTGTTTATCATTAACACTGCTTAATTTATTATGAAATCTATCACAATCCGGCGTGTACATAAAAGAGAAAGAGAGAAAGAGAGATGGAATGAGAGAGGGGGGGGAAGAGAAAGCGAAAGGAGATAATGTATATAACTTAATCATGAGATATATAAACTGTAATCATGTATATAATTTTAATTCATGTTAATAATTTCAATTTCTATGTTTATAATAATATAAAATGATAATAATATATATTATATAATCATTTATATATTTTTTTCTATAATTTTACATTCTAATCTTTGTTAAGTATTTTTTAAACGTTATTTCAATTTCTATGTTTATAATACGAGTGCAATAATCAAATTTTATGATAAATATATATATATATATATA